TGTTTAGGGACAAGAAGGGACCTTCCGGTTCGTGGAGGTCATTAAATTCTAAGAACAGGTTCGCACGAACCGGTGCAAACCGGCTGAATCCCACCACTGGTGATAACCTAATGCATCTGGATAAAAACCATATGATTATCCTCATACTTTTTCCATTCACTAACTGTATGTACCAAGAAGTGCGATTTTTGAAAAAGTTTTTCTTTCTGTCAACAAGAAGATGATTGATTTTTTCTTTCAGTTAACAAGAGGAACAATGTTCCTCCACCATTCTCCTCCAGTTTGAACATTGTCTGTATTTAAGCCTTTATCATGACTACTACTACTTCTGCAACAAAGTAAAATTGTGTGAACAACTAAAATTTGAGACATTTATCCTTGATTTCAAATGTTACCTGTTTTCAGAAGTTGCATTTGTAATGGTTTGGAAGCTGTGTCCATATTTATTTATGTTCAAGATGAATGTTTTTATTATACGTGTGTGTGTGTGTGTGTTTAATATAGCCATAGATGGTTAATTGCACTTTATTTAAATGAGTTGTATAAGATAATGCAGAGAAATATTATTACAATAAGATTGTTAAATGATGTGCAACCAAAGGACACAATATTTGGAAGACAATATCCTTCAATGTTTTCCATGAAAATAAGCACAGCAAAGCATTTGGAACAGCAACAGCCCCTGAATATGACACACACCAATCCAATCTGGAGCAACATTCTCATCTGCAAAGTAGAGGCCATTCTTCTTACAAACTTTTTGTGATAAGAATTGTGACATTGGGAAATAGTGCATGATAGTGACTATTAGAACGAACATTATCAACTTTACATGAAACAGTTTCAAGGGTAGCATGAGACCTAACCAAAATATTGTTCATATAAAGTGCATTTAATCTCAGTACACCAAAAATTAAATGAGGTAAGATTTTATTATTTCATTATTTCTTCAATCAAATTGATAACAAAGCTGAACTTACCCAGTTAACACAGCTAATGAATTAGACAATACATTGTTAATTACAATCAATACTGTTTTCAAATTTGAAGTTAATCAATTTGTCTGAAAGAGATATTTACTAATGAGTATGGATTCTCCTTCCATTGCTACATTTGTCCTACTTGTCTCTGACCAGTCTATAGACAGAATTATTATGTATTCTTTCCCATTCTTGTGCAACACAAATCTGGTATTATCTGATTAAGTAAATCAATGACTTAATCCAGTGTTTCCCAAACTTTTGTCATCTGCACTCCTCCTTTAATAATATGGTTTTTTATGCCCCCCCTATTTTTTAAATGAGTGAAGGAGTGAGTTAAGTGACAAGATATAATACATGAATACACATTAAAATGTTATATATGTTGTAATAATTACTTATAATTTTAATTAATAAAAATTATATTAAAATGCATAATTTTCCATTATTATACTATTGATTCTACCCTAATCTGCTCTCCCCCCTCCCAAGATATCGTTTTCACCCCAACACTTTTGGAAATGCTGCCTTTATCAGTCTCCAAGAGGCCTTTAGAAGTGCTCTATTTGATTTTGGTAAGGCTTTTGTGACCTCTATGATTGTCTAAAACAGTTGTTGCGGCATGACACTGAGCATTATGTTGTATCAGAACAAAGTCTGGACCATTTACACTTTCAAAAGTTCATATGTACTATAAAACTGCTCTTGAGATGAATAATTAGACGGTGGTCATTATATCTGATTAATTTATTGTATATTTTATTGAAGAGAGGCCCTACAATCCATATATATAATTGGATTCAGTGTGAAAAAACCCTTGTAAAAGTATGACCATATGTCAACTGAGAACAGAAATAGTAGGCATACCAATCATGTTCCTATGGTGATCTAAGGGTTAAACATTCTGTTTTGCTAATGTTTTATATGTAAATTTACAGAGTGGACTCCACTCCTCTACTCAGTAATCTATGTTACTGCAGCAACGCTATGTAAGGAACAAGGAATTACAGTTGTGGGGCTTTGTGGCATATATGAAGTGTTTATTGTTCAGAAGGTAAGCTGTGTGGATGCAGCTCTTAATTTATGCACAACATATTAGATTTAGAATAGAATTATTCATATTGTCTAGTTGTATTTTGACACTGGGCATCATTTAGAGCTCCATTATACAACAATTTATCATGTAAATGATAATTCTAACTAATGAGAGTGATTGCAACAATAAAAAGGAAACAGGACAGAACACTTATAGGCTTAGATTTGTCACTATTCTTATGTCTTATGTTAACATATTCACAACTAGTAACTTTCTTGTTTGCAAACAGTGACTAAACTCTCTCTCTTGTTTAAAGAATAGTTTAAGTTTGTGTATTTTTATATTTCTATATTGACAGAAATATGAGAGAATGGTACTTCTTCCATCCCAGAATATAATTGTGATTTTGACATTTTTCTTGATTCCAAAAAAATGACTGTAATTTTTTTCATTTTCACATGTTATTTATGTCTCTCTTAACTGTGAATATATATTAAGATTAACACTGTTTTTTTGTGCTAAGTGTATTGTTTTTGTTACGTTACAATGCATACCTGGTGATTGCAGTTTGTTGCTTGTTTTGTATGTTATGCATTTAGTTATTAGTTGATCAAATTTTTGATCCATTAATAAGCTATTAATCAGAAAAGTTAACACTAGCCCATAAGAAAAGCTTTTCACAATTTTGTATTTGTTTATCAATATAATGTTTTTACATGAATATTCTGTTTTAGTTGATAGTATTGTCAAAAATGTTGTCCTTTTGTGTATTACCTAACAATATATGCCTTAGAGACATTTTGTATTCAAATATAACTCTAATAGCTTGATTTGTAGTACTAATATGAAAATAAACATCATACATAATGGTTATCTCAAATATTTTTAATAAACTATGTATTAAATGGTTAGTTATTGTTTATAAAAGAGTAGTGAAACCTGCTTAAAGAAATTAATATTGATAACACATGCAACACAAGTTATTTTTAGAAATGAAAATTAATTGATGTGCTTCACAATACTCTGGGGAGAAGCTGGGTATACTTAAACTAAAAAATGATGCTTTGGCTCATTATGTAATCTATCATTTTGATGGCATAAGACCAAGTATTATATCTTAAGAGTATTGCATTGCTAAGTCCTTTTTTTTATTAGATTTTTCCAAGCAAAATCATTAAATATTTTTATGGGCTTAACAACAAAAGAGACTAAGATAATTAATAGTCTGATAAAGTATATAAAAATCAGCGATATTTTTTATCCTGTCAATTTTTGTTATTATCCAAATTAAAACTTGGTAACTTTGTTTATCCTTGCTTTGAGTTTCTTATGAGTTGAAATTTTAAATCCTCACTGAGAATATGTTTGTAATATAATAATGGCTTTTTTCATAATCATCTTTTTAAAAAATCATTATTTGCATGTATTATCTGAGTTTGTGTGTTTGCAGTATATAAAACTCAGTGTATAAGTAATGGAGATTATATTAGGATACATAAATATTTTGATTTCTGTTCATTTTGGAACTTTGTTATATTAAACCATTTCCACCACTGAGTTTATTAGCTACAGCTCTCCATCATTTTATTTTGTCTTGTTTTCCAGTAACATTACTTTTTTTTTATATAAAGATTTTCACTCGTTGGTTCTTTTTTAAACTATTATTTGGTCAGTATTCAACTGAATGATGTTTTATAATTTTGTTTTATATGTTACTTTACTGATGTATACATGTACTACTACTTCTACTCCATTTTAAAAGTAGGACTGGCCAGTTTTTCTTTTACTCAATTCAATTTAAGCTTTGTAATTAACTTCATGTATTATTTCTACAAATTCATTTGCATATGTTTGATAAGGGAGTGTGAAGATTTGCATAATACAACTCATTAACATTTCCTCTTCTTCTTTAAACATTTTAACTGATAATATCATTTATCCTAATTTTTTTTATTTTGTCAGCTCCGACTACCAGATCTTCTTTATATTGGCCAAAACATTGTAGCTTCCAAAGCTCAACCTCCACCATGGTTTCGAGAAATGATGCTAAGATTGACAGTTTTAATTTTTAGTGCACTTGGTCTCTTGTTTGTGAGATTTCAAATAATGGGTGCTCAGCTTCCAGTATTTACTAGGTTTGTTATATATACATATTCTGTGCCATACAATTATTATTTTTGCTATTTTTACTAGTAGTTAAGTTTACAAATGCATCATATATGATGATTTAAAATTAAATTTATCAGGTACACATCTGTTACTTAAGACGTTTTATTAAATATACATATTATTGAGCCTCGTTATAGTATTACTGTACTAAGTTTGTTAACAATCGTATGTATAGGCCTAATAATAACGTTACAACTTACAAGTACGCGTGTTTACAACGCAACTTTACTAGCAGACTAGGCGGACTAGGTCTACTAGATCTCTGATGAATCATTTGCCAGCAGGTAAATGTTTTTTTATACAGATTCTTATGATTTTATCTAAATTATCATTATTAAATCTAACTTAGTTATATCATCTACTATAGGCCAAGCGTCCTAGGCCTACGTGTGAGTGCAAATCTGTGCTGAATTATTAGCCAGCGGGTGAACGCTTTTTCTACAGATTCTTATCTAAATAATTACGTTAATCTGTTATTGTTATACCTAAGGTTAGATCATCTATATACATAGCTCTAGGCCCCTAGATCTATATAATTAATATTGTTGCGTCAGCGAGTCACATGACAACTATGACGCAACGTTTC